AACCATGTAGAGGCGGGATGACGCGACCAGCCAATAGGGACCCGGTACAACCGGGCTCCGCCTACTGGGTGTCGCCGCCACTCGACCTATCACATTGCCCAAAAACCGGACCGGCTCTTGAGTCCGAAGACGGCAGAGTGTCAGCAAACAGCATTAACTGAGTGCAGAGATCACTATGGGAACTCAGTCGCCTGGAGAGGATGAATAGGAGGAAGGTGAACTAAATAACTGTTGACCACCACATAAATGTGAACACCAGCAACAACGTGTTGGTATATATATAAAGAAATTATGCAATGATATGTATACAAAGTTATAAACATAAAAATTGGTAATCATAAATAGTCAAATGTATAAATATATATATAAAATATACATGATTTTGTGTATATATTGAGGGATTGGGACCCTGTGGGTAGCCACATATGGGTAATATAGGGCCAGTGCCACAATAAAAACAAGGACAATTGAAAAGAGATTATCGATCAGTGTTTGGACCAACGCGAAGTTTCCGATTGTGTGAGGGTATGATTGGAGGGTATAACAAAAGGCAAAAACACTGGATGTGATGGTATAAGTAATGACAAATGGAAGTGATGGAATGCCCTCTATGTCTATAGGGACAATTGTAGCATAGAGGGACTGTCTGAACCACAAGGGAGGGAGGGGTGAAAAGAACTAGCCGGACATCCATATTGGAGGGTTATAGGGAGGACACTAACTCTAAGCCCTCGTGAAGACCACTAGGGTATAGGCTGTTCAGAGAGTAAATCCAGAAGGTCTCTCTCTGGCATATTCTTTTGTATCTTGTACCTTCATCTAAATGATCTGGTATCGTCTCTATACCGAATACTCTAAGTCCCTCAGGATTCGAGCTGTGGGCCTCCAGAAAATGTCTGGGCACTGAGTGATCGTCTGCTTTTTTGAGGATCTTTCTCTTGTGCTCTCCAAACCTAGTTCTCAGGGTTCTGATCGTACGTCCCACATACAATTTACCGCAGGGGCAAATGATGCCGTAAATGACACACTGTGACGCACAGTTAATGAACTGCTTAATGGGAAAACTCTTTCCCCCAGGGTGGAAGATTTCCTTTGTTCTGTGCCAGAAAAACGAGCATGTTCCACAATTGTGTACATTACACTTGAAACATCCTGTTTGGCCAAAGATACCTTTACCAGAATTTTATGTTTTATTCAACTTAAGTCTGCTGGTGGCTATTTTGCTACGGAGGTCTTTGGGTTTACGGCTAAAATCATCCAGACACCGATGGGGCGTGGTTTTGTCGCTTCTAGAACCAAATTCACAGCCCAGCACCATGGTCCACCCAACAGAGTACCACATCACCCCTTGGGGTGGCAAAATAATACCCTTCATAGACAGCCCAATAGACACATCCACAGTCGTGACCATCCACATAGGTCTGAGCAGTCCCCCAGTGGCTATTTTGCTACGGAGGTCTTTGGGTTTTTTGAAGATGACCTTAGGAAAACTGGGGAGAGAGTTCTTCAAAACGGGGTCTTCTTTCAGAATGCGCCAGTGATTTTTCAAAATCTTAGAGATCTGAAAGGCTCCATCATTGAATTGGGTACAAAAGCTGATATTATAGGAATCTCTGTTGCTGTGTGCTTTCTTAGAGGTAGGGACCCAGTGTTTGTCAAAGGCCTTCTTAATCAGATTGGAATCATATCCCTTGTCCAAAAACTTTTTTGTTAGGGTGCTACCTAGAGCCTCATAGTCTGAATCGGCAGTACAAGTTCGCCTGAGCCTACCAGACTGCCCATCAGGAACATTTCTAATCCATCTGGGGTGATGGTTACTCAGAGTTAGAGTGTCAGTAGGAATTGCCCGCCGAGGGTTTGAAGTGGGTTTTGGAGGTGATCCCTCCCATGTCGTCGGCTCCTAATTCAATATCTAAAAAGACTAATGCTCTATCGTCTGTTACAGACGTGAAGTCTAGGTGAAATGGATTGCTCTTAAAGTAGTTGACAAAGGCAGAGAATTCTATGGCAGTGCCATCCCAGATTATGAGGATGTCGTCAATATATCTGGCGAACAGGACTAGGTTAGCTCCAAATGGGTTATTCGACCAGATGTGAAACTCTTCCCAATACCCCATCAGCAAGTTTGCATATGAAGGAGCAAAACTTGAACCCATAGCATTACCCTTTAACTGGATATAATGGGTGTCTAGGAACGAGAAATAATTATGTGTCAGCACGAACTCTATGGCCTCTAAAATTAAGTTGGCTTGGGAAGAATTAAAATTCCCAGACTTGGCCATGAAGTGCTGGACCGCTCTGAGCCCGAACTGATGTTCAATGGAGGTGTAGAGGGAAGCTACATCCAAAGATGCCCATAGGTAGCCTTCTCTCCACTTGTACTGTTTTAGGATTTCCAGAATGTACCCAGAATCTCTGACATAGGAGGGAAGATCTAAAACCAGCGGCTGTAGGAAGAAATCTATGTAACTAGCCAGGTTGGAGGTAAGGCTATCCATCCCTGCTATTATGTGTCTACCAGGTGGTCTGGTGAGATGTTTATGAATTTTAGGGCTGTGGTAGAAGTAAGGGATGCAGGGGTGTTGAACAGAAAGGAACTTATATTCTGACTTGGATAGTACCCCTGTGGAATAGGCCTTACTGAGTAGTTCATCCAATCTCATTTTGAATTCGCTGTTAGGATTCTTTTGAAGTTGGGCATAAGTGGTGGTGTCTGACAACAGTCTAATAGCCTCATCAATATAGTTGGTCTTATTAAGAATGACTAGGCCACCACCTTTATCTGCCTGTTTAATTACTAAATCTGTGTTATCACAGAGGGATTTGATAGCTATTTTTTCTTTTTGAGTGAGATTAGTAGTTCTACCTCCTTTTTTGGAGCATAATTTTCTGAAATCCGTAGGTACCAGTTGGTAAAAGGTGGAGAGGAAGCTCCTTTTGGAATGATAGGGGTAAAAGTTGGACTGGGGTCTGAAATTAGAATGTCGAATATCTGGATCGATGTAAGGTAAGGTATCAAGTGTAAATTCTGTTCCGTCCCATAGGGTTTCCAAATCCCTAAGGGTCAGCTCATCATCCAGTAGGTCTGTCTCTGGACAGAGTCCTGGTGATGTCTGTACAGGGTGGGTCGGTCTAGCATTTTTCAACAGAAAATGGCGGTGGAGGGTGAGTCTGCGTATAAATCTATGTAGATCCAAAAAAATGGCAAAATCGTTGGGGGAGGAGTTGGGAGCAAAGCTGAGACCTTTGCGGAGTACAGAAGTTTCAAATTCATCCAGAGAATGTGAGGAGAGGTTGTAGATCTTGATGGTGTTGTTATTAGGGTTGGCTAAGGCTAAGGACTTAATTTGCCTTTTTTGCGGGAACTTGTGTCCAGCTCTACAAACTCTTCTCTTAGATCGGAAGATCTTTTCTTTTTCCTTTGTTTGGGTGTCCGGGCTGACACTAAAAAAGGTTCAGCTTCTTTAGTGGTTATCCCCTCTCTATAACGCATGGTTTTAGGTTTAGTACCTACTCTCTGCCCAGAGGGACCCGGAGTGGAGGCCTCTAGACCTGGGTGAACCCTCCTGGATGGAGAGTGGCACCCATTGTTCTTCACATGCCTGGATGAAGGGAGGCAATGGGTGTTCTGGGCTGAAGGGTCTGGGGGGAAGGTGAGGCTCCATCTGGATTCTAATGAGAGTACATGGTTCCCCAGACTGACACCAGCTATGGCCGCGATAACATTAAACATCACGACGAGCCTCTGGGGTACGTCCATGATTGGCCACTTGCTCTTTAAAGGTGGAAATGAGGAAGGCGACGTTACGCTCTGATGAAGGGGGCGTGCCCCGGAAACGCGTTAACGTCACCAGCACACAGGAATCGCCTAGTGGTTGTCTAACTGCAGCTTACATTTCATGGCTGTGTGACACTCATGTTTGTGAGTACCTTTCTGTTTTCACCTTATGATTACTGAAATAAAATTGACCTGCACCAGGAAAGGCTGTGCTTACTTTCTAGATACATATGGATACAGTTTGTTGATAAGACTGAGTATAGGGTGATAGCCATTTATGACAGCCTTCAAAATATAATAGATGGATTGCAATATACATTACTTTACCAACCGTGAAGCACAGCAATTCTTGCCTGGAACAAGTGATGCACAGCTATTGGATTACAAGGAATTATTTGATAGCCACGCTGAAGGATTTAAAACGAATAATAATACCGTCTTATTTTTTATATTAAATGGCCATAGTGACATGTTTATGATATCAGGCGGAAGAACAATGGATATTACTGTTTATTATAACCTTACAGAAAAAAGTGTGTGTAGTTTTAACTGAAAATAATACATTTGTATAAAAAATAAAGCATAATAATTAATATTGCACTGCCCACGCTGAAGGATTTAACCCTTTCTCTGCCAAGCCCTCTGGAACATTTTTCAAATCAGCTGGCCAAGCCATTTTTAAATTTTCTAGTCCGTATGCCATACGTCCTTGGCAGCGAAAGGGTTAAAAGGAATAATAATACCGTCTTATTTTTTATATTAAATGGCCATAGTGACATGTTTATGATATCAGGCGGAAGAACAATGGATATTACTGTTTATTATAACCTTACAGAAAAAAGCGTGTGTAGTTTTAACTGAAAATAATACATTTGTATAAAAAATAAAGCATGATAATTAATATTGCACTGCCCATGGACTGCATTATAGAATAATTTTAATCTATAGAGATTGATTTTTGTTTGCATGATTGTAGTTTAGAGGTTATGCGGACATAGATTTAAACCACCATGAGTAATTGATACTTCTGTCAAAATCTCACTGTTTAGCATACTGATATGCATAGTACAGAAATTAAAAGTCAGCAATCAGAAATCATTTTTTAAAATTAGATCAGCGAAAGATGAATTCTGTTTGTCTATGGGCTAGTGCAATTTCATATTTAATATATATAATTTTCTTGCTTAAAGTTTCCAAGGTTGTTTGACATTTTGGGCCTTACCTTTCACACGAACAGAGATGGTGTGTCTGATACTTCCCATCCTGTTTGATGCCTGGCAGAAATACTCTCCACTGTCTTCCTCAGAGACGGGTGAAATGCGCAGAGTCTTGTTGTAATTCTCAAACTTCAACTTCTGACTGGGTAGCTCTCCTCCTTTCTTATACCACATAATGTCTGGGGTGGGGCTGTTAAAAATACAAAATCACTACAAATCCAAGAAGATTTAAAAGTCCCATCATTTGCTGTGTGTTAGGGATATTTATTCAATTTGTAGAATTAATATTTTATAATGATCTAAAAAAATAAAAAGTACATTAATGTGGTGATTTACATTTTGTTTTGCCTATTTTATTGTAAAACTATTAAATAGTAAAAAGACATACGTAGATGACAAGACAAACTATACACAGAGGAGCTGATTAACTACATACATTTTCACCCTAGACTTTAGATATCCAATTACGTATTCATTAGAGTCTCAGGGGTGTGGAATTCGTATCGCTCGACGCCCGTGACATGGTTTTCTGTTCCTAAAATAAGCGCGGAGAGCGGCGCTGCGAGCGGGGGACGTGGAGCGCTGAGAGCGGGGACGGAACGTGGAGCGCTGAGAGCGGGGGGCAGGGACAGAGCGTGGAGTGGGGACGGAGCGGGGGGCGTGGAGTAGTGACAGGCTCTGTCACCTCCCTCTGCCTCTGTCCTCGGCGGCCTCTGCTCGTTCCTGTCACAGGAGTTCTAGCAACAGTGCCTGCTAGAACGCCTGTGTTGGAGGTGACAGGTTCAATAAAGAGTACCTGTCACCTCCAAATGCTATCAATCAGGGGATTGTTAACCCCTGTGAGATAGCAATACAGTTAAGTTTTTAAAAAATTGCTAAAAAAATGTAAAAAATTATAATAAAAAATGTAACTAAATAAAAATGTAAAAAATAAAAAGGCGATAAAGTAAAAATAATAAAACAAATAAATTTTTTTTACAACGTAAATAAAAATTTAAAAAATGAAAACCAGCCCCGCTGCCCCCATCTGCATGCGAATAAACGCGCAGTATTTTCAACTGCGATCGTGTGCAACCGCACGGGCACGGCTGTATTGCAGCAGGAAAACGCGCAATCTGCCTGGCACGACTGGGGTGCAATTAGAAATTAATGGCACTGACAGCACAATCGGCAGTGGTGTGCGATCCGTGACTGACCGGTCATCGTGCACAAAACCGAGCGGATGGCTGGGTGGTCACGGAATCGCACAAACAGCTAGTTGCATGCTTTGGTCTGTTTTCTCTCTGATCCCCGCTGCTCTCCCCCTTCTGTATAGACAGAGGCAGCAGGGATTAGAGTGGACACAGAGCCGATCCAACTGCCAGCTCCCAGAGGGAAGGTGAGAGCAGTGACAGACAGGATGTCGTCTTGGAGAACGGAGCTGTGTAGGGCCGGGCAGAGCTGCAGGATGCCATTGGAAGAGTAGCAAATATGTGAAATATTTGTAGATCCTTCCATGTACTGATCACTCAGTGTTTGTTAATAACTGAGGACATAGTAGAATTACTATGTCCCCAGTTATGAATGAACAGGAAGGGCTACACATCACTTCCTGTTTATTCATGACTGGGGGACCAAATACTTACTCAGTTTTTGAATGGACACGAGTACAGAGGCTTCCTGTACATTTATAACTGGGGAGAGTACTATGCTGGGGGGGTGCAATACTTGCCTTGGTCACGGTAGTTGACAACCCACACCACACCATTGGGTTTTCCTTTCCATTTAGGGTTGGGTGTTCCAGTTTGACATGGATGGCCCCTTCAACAGATCTTTCAAACCAATTGTCTTCTCCGCACAATAGACTGTCATTTGTTCTTCATATGCAAAAGTTTTATCTTCCTAACATCATTGCTGTTCGATGCTGGTTATTGCTAACTTCATTGGACTGTGTATACCATGCTGTTTAACTAATGCATATGTATTTTTGGCACACATAAAACATAAAAAACAGTGCACCTCTCTAGTGTAAAAAGCTTAATTTAGTGGAAATTAAAAGCAAGAATGTACTCACAAACAGCCAGTGAAAACACTGCTGGCACACCTATGCCATTTGGTCATTGGCCACCTTTCAACCCTTATAGGATTCTGTTGGTGGGGATTGCTAGGTCTGATGAAGGGGGTGTCGCCCCAGAAACGCGTTACCTTGTTTGCACTGTTTTTTATGTTTCCTGTGTGCTAGAGCTTCAGACAAAGTGCTGCCCTCCGGTGAAGAGTTGCAGTCTACCCTTTGAAAATGAACTTTGGCGCCAATTACTTTGTTTGAACTTTGAGATAGGTATTTTGGTTTATAGGTTTTAAAAAGCAATGATTCTTTAAAATACTACTGAGCTTTTCAAACACTCTAGCGACATAATGGATGACTATGATCTTTTAAAAATATTTGTAGTACAGGAGCAGAATCAAGTGTTTTTAACCCCATATACTTTTAAATAGGAATGCCCTAAAATGTGCATAATCATGCACTTTTCAAGATTTTTTCAGGCACTCCCATTAAAGTCTATGAGGACAAAATGTTCTAATATGTCTGAAAAGAAGCTCATGTATTTTTGGGCTACAGACATTTTGCTACAAGAGACAAAATGCTCAGTTATGAACAGAGCCACTGAAAACAATGAGATTCCTTTTGTTGAGCATTGTAGCGGTTAGGCAATCAAGCTAAAAAATGCCTAGGTGTGAGTGAGGCCTAGGGGATTTAAAGCTCCTTCACCTATAGAATTCTTATAACCCCCAGTTTGCATTTCAGTGGATGGAGGGAATTAAAAAGCATATACAAATTAGTATGTGGTTGTTTTGTTTTAGACTTCACTATTCAAATTTCTGATGTTGTTGTCTGCTGATATTAACTCAGGTATGTCCCACATATGTGATATGCTCCATGAATATGTTAAAGGCTCTATTTTTTTTTATTTGCTCCATGTAAAACCTGTTCTGCAATGAAGCTATGGTGCAGCTTTGTTTCCGTTTTCAAAAGTTGCCTTTCCACTTTAAGCAGGTGGAGTCCCAACATAGGTCCAGCAAGGGCCATATTCGGTATGGCCTGAGCTCATTTATGATGACCAGAATGTTATCCAAGTGCAGGTCTTTTTCATCTCTAATTTTGTTTTGTGAATTTCTTGGCAAAATCTTTGGAGGCGTGAATGTATCTGACAGCTGAGGGCATGAGGGTTATCCTCTAATATGTTACTAATGCTAATAGATTAAATACAATCAATTACATTGTGTACCTGTGATAAAATCTACCACATAATAGAGATGCTACAGAGATTTCACTAAATTCTAATTTTAAATTGTCACTTTTGTCTGTGTCTAAAATCATTATATTACATGAATAAGACATTAACATAGAAATGTATTTTTACTTTTGTTTTCTGTAAATTGTTGTGCAAATATTTTTACTAAAATACTTAACTGTTTAAAGATAAAAATACAAATTTCTTACAAAAAATAAAGTTAACAGTACTTACACTCCAGATGCAATGCACTCCAGAAGTAGATCTTCATCACGCAGAACCAACTTGGTGCTAGATGTCCCCGTAGGGAGTAGGAATGTTGGTATCCGCTCTGGTACCCCACGGGCTGGAAAATGGGCATATCATAAATGTAACCTTTGCAACAAAGCTTTAAGGGTTCCTTCACACAATCATTTTTGATGTGTCTGTAAAGATGCATCATCGTCTATGTAAATTAACTGATAATAATAAATATGATGTTTCTAAAGCAGCAATTTATACCCTCCACAATGCTACAATTGTACATTGGAAATCAGGTATTACCTCTCTTGTTAAACTCTCTAATTATACCCAACCTTTATGAAGGCAACTTGTTCTTCTGTTCCTTGCTAATCAAACAGTTCAAATAATTAACCATTTAAACTAGAGTTTCTGAGCAAGGTAGCGTTAATATAATTTTAGTCAATAGTATAAAATAGGTTTGTCTAATATTATATTTAAACTAGAATAAATTGCTGCTGCAGTGCCTGCCACACTGAAATTCAATTGAATCTTGGGTGAAGTTTAATTTGTTATAAGGATGACCCTACATGTTTTTTAAGATGGACAGGTATCTCACCAAGTGGTAGGAAAGTTACCTGTTCTTGAACCTGACAGTTTTTCGGCTATTCCTCACACAATTTAACCCTTTCGCTGCCAAGCCCTCCGGAACATTTTTCAAATCAGCTGGCCAAGCCATTATTGAATTTTCTGCAATTTTTTCCTATTGATTTGATTTTCAACTGCTGCGTTGCTAGCGTTTGTAAAAGAGATGTTGTGTAAATGCACATGTGTGGTGCACTTGTCACAACTATTTTTGAAAAGTCTACGTGTATGATAACTAGTGCCTCTGACAGGAGGAAATAATCATTCTCATCACATATGACATCCCTATATGTCTTGACCTTCACCAAGTCTTTGTAGAGTTTGCCTAAATCTGGCTAGGACAGAGTAGTGTATGGTCACCGTAATAATATACACTATATTGCCAAAAGTATTGGGACAACCCTTGAAATCATTGGATTCAGGTGTTCCAATCATCTCCATGGCCAGGTGTAAAATCAAGCACCTAGGCATGCAGACTGCTTCTACAAACATTTGTGAAAGCATGAGTCGCTCTCAGGAGCTCAGTGAATTCAAGCATGGTGCCGTGAAAGGTTGCCACCTGTGCAAGAAGTCCAACCGTGAAATGTCCTTGCTACTAAATATTCCACGGTCAACTGTTAGTGGTATTATAACAAAGTGGAAGCAACTGGGAACAACAGCAACTTAGCCACGAAGTAGTAGGCCACGTAAAATGACAGAGCAGGGTCAATGCATGCTGAAGCGCACAGTCCTCAGAAGTTGCCAACTATCTGCAGAGTCAATGGCTACAGACCTCCAAACTTCGTGTGTCCTTCAGATTGGCACAACAACAGTGCGGAAAGAGCTTAATTGAATGGGTTTCTATGGCCAAGCAGCTGCATCCAAGCCTTACATCACCAAGTGCAATGCAAAGCATCGGATGCAGTGGTGTAAAGCACGTCGCCACTGGACTCTAGGGAAGTGGAGACATGTTCTCTGGAGTGACAAATCACGTTTTCTCTGTCTGGCAATCCGATGGACGTGTCTGGGTTTGGTGATTGCCAGGAGAACGGTACTTACCTGACTGCATTGTGCCAAATGTAAAGTTTGGTGGAGGGGGGATTATGGTGTACCTGACCTCACCAATGTGCTTCTGGAAGAATGGTCAAACATTCCCATAGACACACTCCTAAACCTTATGGACAGCCTTCCCAGAAGTGTTGAAGCTGTTATAGCAGCAAAGGGTGGGGCAGCTCAATATTGAACCCTACGGACTAAGACTGGGATGCCATTAAAGTTCATGTGCCTGTAAAGGCAGGTGTCCCAATACTTTTGGCAGTATAGTGTATGTGTCATTATCTGCATACAAGAGTAAGTGAATTATGTGTTACTATTTATGTAACATCTTATGTGCCCACAAATAATTAAATGTAGCTAATGTATAGGCCACATTCATGACTTTTCAAATAAAAAATAGTGGAAGCAGGAGAATTTTTTAGAGTACTGATATCCCATGTCTTGTTATTTTGATCCATATATTTTCAAACCATTTTGTGCACTAATTACGCTTTTGCTGAATTACGATATAAGACATTTATGGGTTCTTTGCTCATAGTAAAAACACATTACAGGTATTTAAGAACATTTTCCACAGTGCATAATTGAACAATCTTGCTGAAAAATGTCATGGCCCTGACAGATAAGAGGAGTATCATTTCTTTGTAGTTGGTGAAAAGGCAAAGCAATTTTAACATCTATTTTCTTCTGCTTCGCTAGACTTTACTTTGGGGTTTGAACTTTACTATTTTACAAATATCACCAGAAGTAAAGATTCTGAGCAATATTACTATTGCTTTGTAAATAGGGGCTATACTATAGTAATTTTTACATTCTGGAGTATACTGATTTTTGCATTTATTGGTATATGTGTTGGAGGCATGTGACATTCACCAAACATTCACTGCAGCAAAATCAATTTACATTGTTGTACTTAAAAATGTAATTTAAAACACATTCGCCAGGAAGATACACAGCGAAAGTTTGCTGAATGTCACATTTGCTGCTTTATAAATGTGCCTCCACATTTACAAAGCAGAATAATATTATACATTTTTATAAATATAGCCCTAGCAGGGGTATGAAGTAGAAAAAATGGTTTAAAGTGACACTAAACTCAGGATTTAAACCTTAAAAATGCATATAGGTACCCTAACTATTAACAATAGTGGGCATCATTTGTGTATCACTCAGCTGTAGATCCTCAAATCATCTCTATATTGGTGATGACACTGTCCTTCCTTCTGGAAAGTGGCTACTTTTGTTCCCCATGATCCCTGTGTGTGTTGCAAGGTGGTCATTGCTCCAAGCTCACTCCTGTGATCGACTATAATTTCAATACAAATTGGTAAACTAAACATGATATTATAGCCCATCGCAGGAGCAAGCTTGGAGCGGTGGCTACTTTACAACACACACAGGGACCATGGGGAACAAAAGTAGGCACTCTCCACAAGGATGGACAGTGTCAGCTGAATTCAGAGATGATTTGAGGATCTACAGCTGAGTGATAAACAAATTAAGATACATTTTTGTTAATAGTTGAGGTACTTAAATACATTTTTCAGATTTAACTCCTAAGTTTAGTGTCACTTTAATTAGGAACACAGTTTATTTAAAAAACATTGATTTTACTTGCAAGGTTACTGTAAGATATCCAGATCAAAGGACAACCAATTGATCTGTTATGAATGAATCAGAATAATTACACTGTAGCAACAGTAGACACTGTTGTTTAAGTCTCAATTTACACAGGAGCAACAATAGCTATCAAAGTGACAGCCAGGATTTGCCGATAATTGAGGCCAGAGAGGTTGCTTTCTGGTGTAATAGGTAGGTTCATGTTGTAGTTCTACTTGTGTGTTGTCCTTGTACAGTGTTGGAGGTACTTGAAAATCATCATTGATAAACAACAAATATGAACTTAGGTAGTAAAATAAAAGAGCTCCAGTGATGTGAGTATCCTGCTGTCTTGAAAGCAATTACACACATTTGCTTGAAAACATGAAAGCCACAAATCAAAAGTGCAAAGCTAGCTTTGGTTACAAACACACATACAGCAATAGCAAGGCATATATTAAACTACAAATAGAAGCGAAGCAAATGCGTCTTTATATGACAACATACCTAGAATGTTTATCTAACAGCATTAAAAAGTTGGGAGATATCTAGAGATAACACAATAACATGTTCATGTAACAATTAATTACATGTAGCTTTCCCGATCAGCTTGTCTGCAAAAATAGACAATGATATCATCAAGATGAACATGAATATTTTTGTATAATCATATTAAATAATAATTAGAGGTGCACCGAAATAATTTTCAAAACCGAAACGGAAAATAAAAAAAACGTTACCATGTCCACAATCATGAATGAACAGGAAGTGATGTAAATCACTTCCCATTCATTCATAATTGGGGACACAGTAAGCTGTCTCTGCCCCCACACCACTGCTCTCCTGATCTGTCACAAAAGGATGAGCGAGCGGTGCTGGAGGAGAGCTCAGCCTCCTGTGACAGCTAACAGCTGTCACAGGACAGGCTGAGCAGTGCGGGAGGCGAGGGAGGTGCAGGAGGAGAGACGCCAGCAGCTCACATCAACCTCCTCCCCGGACTGCTCAGCTTCCTGAGTTTCTCTCAGAGGGGACACAGAAGTGTGGGAGGAGAGAAAGCATGGATGCACCGCTATTTCAGCCGAAAGATGGCACTTTCGGCATTTTGCCAAAAGTGCTATTTTCGGCCGATATGTTCTCTTAAGCACAACTTTTCTATTTGTAGATTACTTTTTAGTTTAATAATTTCTTATCATGTCACAACTGCTCTAAGCATCTTATCCCACTTTTGACCCTTTCACTGCAGTGCCCTGCTCTCCGCTTCTAGTCCCCGTTCACACCTTCGAATTCCATGACTGCACGCCAAGCACGGCTCAAGTGAGCATTTTGATGTGCGTTCACAGAACATGTCAACAACGTGCTTTTAGTGCCATTATTTGTTAATGCACGTTCACAGAATCCCTTTGTGTGAACAGGGACTAAAAAATAAAAAACTGTATTGAGTTAATAATCAAAAAATTTCTACATTTCAAAGTGTACAAAGTCTGGAAGTTGGCTTTGCATATATGCCCCCCATTACACCTTGCCAGCATTCCTAAATGTTGTGGTTCATTTCAGCCCACCAAAATGCAAAGATGGGAATGACCTGCGCATTGTGGTGTGTTTTGTAGAAAAAAGGTTCATGTCTGACTAGTGTGAGTTGTGGTGCGATAGGCACCCCACCCCACTAATTGATATTTACCTTTCCAGTGATTCCCCTGCTGCCCCTTCCCCAGTTGCCATCATAATAGTTGGCTGTTGCCTATGACTGCTTCTCTTTAACATGTATATGTGAATGAGGCCTTACTGCTTCTTCTGTTTACTAAAATGAAGCCCCCAAGAGTCCTTTCAAAATGTTGCATTTAGGGGTGTGCATTAAAATGCATGTTTTAATGCAGGTTATTGCAACCTGCATCAACACATGCCTTCAGGTGTGGCGCATTGCAGTGCCATTCATAGTGAATAGCACCCCAACGCACCACAGAAGAGTGGGAAAGACATTCACAATGTGCAAATTACAATTCACATTCTCTATGTTGTGGTGCACTGATAATGCAAAAAAAATGTTTGTGTAATTTCTGTTGCGTTTGGTGAATAGGCAGACCATTCAAAATGATTGGTCTCCCTTAATGTAATTCACTTTAATATGCAACACAAAGCATGATAATGTGCATGTGATAATGATAACAGTGTAAACGTAGCTAAAAATGAGTCTGTTTCGGTAACACATGCATGTCAACACATGTTACGTCGCACCTCAGCGCAGTGTGGTCAAAACCACTCTTCACCCTTTTATGAAAACGCAACACATAGCAAGCCTTATAAATTTATGTTTGTGCATTTCTGTATTTTGTGGCCTGCTGCTATAGATATTAATATCAATTTTTAAAAAATGTGTGAAAACAAAAATGTTAAAATAAAATTGATCCAAACCATTGCAGATTCCATTTAAGTAGTATATTTTACATAGACCATGCTTCTCCTAAATTCCCAATCATTATAAGAAGAATCCATAAAAGCACCAACTACCTGTATTTTTTAATAACCATATAAAGGTACTTTACCGGTGCAGCAATTGCTATAATGTCACTTTGAACCAGAATTAGCAGTATTTTGTTTTCTAATTGATTTTACTTATACTGATTGAGTATTTGAGAAGGTGTTTCCTAATGTATCTGTAAAACATACACTTTAAATAGAAAGTATAATGGTTTTGGGCTAGGATTATATTTTCTACATCTGATTCATCAGTGGGGTCAGAATATCATTTAAACCAGCAGTGTTTGTATATACAGTTCTAGTAAACCTAGCACAATGTTCCTACATTTAAAATGTTTGAATAATGACCTGACTTGAGTTTTTCACCTATATGACATGTTATGTAATGAATACTGTTAGCTACAAGGTGAGTTAGATTGGAAGTCTTAAGACCCCAAGGACTCACCATGATACTTAATAGTATGGTTCACGGAATGTACAGCAGAGTCATTACGGGAATTCTCTGTAATAAACAAAACATGGTGAGAGCCCTGGAGGAACACATACTGAAGTGATAGATAAGAAGAACAAAAATATATTAGGGAATAAAGTGAAGAACAGAAAGCAAAAAGAGAAAAAGATTCAAGCGCATCAGAGATTGGGGCCTTTTTTACAAAGGTTGTGATTGCTGTTTCACTGTTATTTTTTATCCAGAAAAATATAGTTTCTAGCAGTTTCATGTACATTTAATGTTGCCTTGGGCAATATTTCTACTCATTTTTATGATACTTTTAAAAACAATGTGAAAATAACCATGTGAACATTTATTTGCAGAGAAATTAGCCAAGTAATAGACTTTCTTTCTTTTTGTTACATACTCTAAAGCAGCCTTTCTCAAACAGGGTCTTGTAGCACCCTGGGGTGCCTTCTGGCTTTGGCAGGGGTGCTTTCAGATTTCCGCTAAAGAGGGAATCTGATGTGAGGGGGAGCTCTAATGTGAAGGGAGAAACTCTACGTTGTCTTTTTTTTTTTGCCTAGGTTTACTCACTTAAAATCCATACCAGATCCCTATCTAAGATGATGGTTTGGTACTGATTTTGGGGTTGGGGAAGCACACCTCATTTTTACATTTTAAACTTGGGTGTCTTGAGATTTGGCATAAAAGGCTGAGAAACGCTGCTCTAGAAGTATGGTTGCTACTAGGGATGTCCAGATACCAAGAATCATACCTGGTACAAGTACAAGTACTGATAATGTTCCAGCTCCAAGACTAGAACAAGTACAAACCAGACCAAGTACAATTACTGATACTTGTCCAATGACTCACAGATACTTATTACTGATAAAAAAAATTTAATTTTCATTTGACAGTTTTCTTAAAACACTACAAACTTTTGATTTTAGGTACAGTGGTGGAGCGCCAGGGCCCAGTCACAGCTGCAACCCTGGTGGTTTGTGTGAAAATGCCAAGTATCGGCAATGGTATCTGAACTGGTATCTGAACTGGTATCTGAGCATCCCTAATTGCTACCTTAAGCTAAGTATACTGTACTTCGCTTAAGAAAGTTTCTAAAGTTGGCATAATTTTTTTATGAATTGTGGCAGTTTTTTTTCTTGATTATCATCACACATTTTTTAGCCAATCTACTGCACTCATTTTCACTCTGAAATCAAAACTGAAGTTTGAAAGCAAACGGAAATGTGCAGTGAGACAAAATGCAATCAATCTTCATAAATAGGCCCCTTGGTAAGTAATGTAAAGACAATAGGTGTGAGTGTGCTTGCAAAAGCAGGTAGCAAACATTCATTACAAATTGTACCTCAAAAGTAGACACAATTGATAAGGAAATGCCTTTAGTTCAAATAGATCTCAAAGACAAGCATTGAAAGACAAACAGGGCAAAATAATGAAATGTTCTGCTCTGCTAACATAGCTGAAATGAAAAAGAAGAAGGCATCTTCTGCAGCAGCAACAAGGAAAATCAATTTTTAAACTAAATGGTAATGGTAGCATGGGATCTCTAGCAAAATAAAAACAAACTGTTAAACGACAATGTTTTTTTCTGTGGCACATGGTAAAAACTGAGTTTACCAACATGAACTAGAGGAGAACTTCACATAAGGGTCTATTCACTAAGCTGCCGAGGGCAACTGAGTGAACAACCGACCCCAAGTGAAGTGAGCCGAACACTGTTCGGCTATTCACTTCAGCCTTGTACGGCTGATTTCAGCCGTATATCGGCTGAAATGAGCCGTACATCGGCTTGCTTCGCATGGCTTCGGGTCGGCCGAACATGCTCAGCATGTTCGGCCGACCACCCCATAGTGTCACATAGGTCAGGGAAAAAAAAAACATTGAAAGGTTTACATATAATCAAATTCAGAGTGACAAGCTATTGACATCCTTAAAGAACTTTGGGCACATTTTTTTATTAACCCTTGCAGTGTGGATACCCCCGAACTGCAAGGGTTAAGTGCTCGTTTTCGTCCAGGGAGGAAAATAAAATTATACTCAACCGATCCTCTGAGACAGTTTGCTTCTATACCGCTCCTTCAAGCCTCTCTCCGCATCTCCTGCAGTGATCTAAGGATCCTCGAGTCATCACGTTGTATACAGTGCATAGGACGTGAGGACACGGTGGGACATACCATTGCTGCAACATAGGAGGAGACAGGCTGGAGGGAGCACTGTGACAGCTGGCCGGCTCCGAGGTTCAAATGAGTATAACTTTATTTTAGCACCTAGATGAAAACAAGCAGTTAACCCTTGCAGTGTGGGGGTAGTCCCGCTGGAACAGTTAATAAAAGTTTTGCCTGGAATTTTTCTTTAATACTGAGTTGCAGTGGTAGGCCTTTCTTATAGGGAAGGCAGCCATTCGAATAATCTGTATCTCAGTGGTATCACTGGTTTCCAGTGTAGTCATATTTTTTTAAACACGACTGGACAGTGACTCCATGGAGGTTTGTATAGGTTTAGATATTATGGAGCCTTTTAAATATCTAAAAAATGTTACAGCAGATTTTAGAAAGAAACGTTCCACTGAATCATAATCCATATCTAGTTACTGCCTATGTTTCAGTCATTCTGCCAATATAATGATAAAGTCCACATAATGGTAACTAATATAGCCCTGTAACAGTTGACAGCAACTAGCTTTTGAATTAGACTCTTTTTGTTGAAATGTTGAAAACCTTTTAGGAAGAAAACGCATTGATACAAAGTTTTCTGGTTCAATAAAGTATAAATCCCCACTTACTGGTTAGTACTTTTAAAGTGTATGGATTTTTCTGCTGGATGGTATGTGTGAAATGCGAGCGCGCATTGCAGCTGTAATCTGTCACAGCATCCTCACGCAAGACATTAGAGAAGTACAGGTCTCCGTTCAGACCCTGGGACACTCTTCTGCTCTGCACATTTGGCTCCATTGCTAGATGTACAAGAAAGGTAATAGAGTTAGCACATTAGGTAGGGTTGACTGAGCACACACTGGATATTAAACAGAGATGATACACAATTTATAATGGTTTATCTAGACCGGTGGCTGAAATAAAATGGATACATATCTTTCTCTTATAGGCAAACCCAGATTATTTTAGTATCAGTCAGAGGCATAACTAGAAACATCAGGGCCCCGGTGTAACAAACCATGAAGGGTCCCCCACCGCCATGGGAAGGCACTATAAACAGGCACCATGCCGTTAACAGTAAGGTTGCCGAGGTCTCCAGTAGACATGTGCACCAGCAAAAAATTTGTTTAGTTTAGTTTCGTTTTGAAACAAAACAAAAAAAAATTGTTTTTCGTTTTTCGGGTCCGAAATTAAATTAGTTTAAGATTTGTTAGCGGTAGTCCTGCCGAAATTCGTTTATGAAAAAAAAACTAAAAACTTTACTCTCCAACAAGCCGGCCAAACAACATGGAGTCGGCTTCAGGAAGTCAGGAAGCCGGGTAGCATCTCATTACCCGCTGCACGGCTTCCTGCCTGCTCCATGCAAAAGGAAGCACCGGTACTCGGTGAGTACCGAAAGCAAAATACCGGTACTCTATACCCAAAAACCGGTATTGGTGCATCCCTAGTTTTAATTCAAACTATTTTTTTTTATTGGGATAAGTAGATTGTTATGAAGGACAAGTAGATTTGGCCCCAGCTTTAGCCCTTGGACAAGTAGTTTTTTCAAAAATGTCCACACCCCTGTAAGCTATTTTTTATTAGTATCATTAGTACATTTAAATATATTTCACATATAGTCAAGACACACAGGCTTTGACAAATGGAAACCTCTATTACTATATGCATACACCAGCCTCCCCTACTTACAACTGCTCATCCAGAAAATGACTGGAGGAGGGAGACCAGGAGGAGGGTTGCATTGCAGAATGAGAGATGCCCCTTCATTTACAACAACTGGATCTAGGTTTTCTTTTGGCCATAGTGGAGATCCTGTGAAAGAAGGCATGCGGCAAGGTTAGATATTTGAAGTGAACTTTCATACACTGATACATTTTAAATCACTGAGTATGTTAGAATTGTCAAGGCATTTAATTTGTTTTTATGAGAATAAAGAATTCAAACAATCACGCAACAATTGAATGTATTGCATAAAGAACTGCATCTTTTAGATTGTAAGCCCTCACGGGCAGGACCCTCCTTACCATCTTGTCTTGAATTGTATTGTGATTGTAACATCTTCCTTATATTGTAAAGCGCTGCGCAAACTGTTAGCGCTATATAATTCCTGTATAATAATAATAATTAATTATTATCATACAGGATTTATATAGTGCCAACAGTTTGGACAACGCTTTACAAAATGGAGGGAGACAATACAGTTAACACTACAATTTCAATATGGGAGGGTTAGGAAGGCCCTGCTCATGAGAGCTTACAATCTAGTAGGAGGGGCAAGTGATACAAAAGGTAATAGTTGTGTAGGATGATTTAATGGAAGAAGTGAAAGGACAGTTATGTCAAGGTGGAATAGGCTTCCATGAAGAGATAAGTTTTCAAAGATCGCCAAAAAGGTTAACAGAGTAGGAGATAAGCAGACAGATTGGGATAAGGAGTTCCAGAGGATGGGAGGCACTCTGGAGAAATCCTGGAGGCGAGCATGGGAGGAGGAGACAAGACAGCAGGAGGTCTTGGGAGGAGCGTAGAGGGCAGTTTGGGTGTTATTTTGAGATGAGGCTGTTAATGTAGCTGGGGCAGAGTTGTAGTTGGCTTTGTAAGTTATTGTTAGTATTTTGAATTTAATTTGTTGGGCAAGTGGGAGCCAGTGGAGGGACTGGCAGAGAAGTGTAGTAAGATCACGGTAAGCATGTTAAGATCGATTGGTAAGGTGGACGAGTCTGGCAGCAGCATTCATGATAGACTGAAGGGGGGATGGCCTGTTTAGTGGTAGGCCAACAAGGAGGGACTTATAATAGTTGAGGCAAAATATTACAAGGGAGAGAATTAGAAGCTTTGCGGTGTAATTTGTTAAAAAGGGGCGAATTTTGGAAATGTTACGGAGGTTGAGTCGATAAGATTAGACAGTGATTGGATGTGGGCCTGAAAGAGAGCTCAGAATCAAGGATTACACTGATCACCCAGGCTTGACGGAAGGGGTTGATCGTTGTGCTGTTGGTTGTGATGGATAAGTCGGAGGAGGGGACATGGAGAGAAGGAAATATTATAAGCTCAATTTTGGACAGATTTAGTTTGAGGAAGTAGTGTGACATCCGTGTTGGTATGTCAGTGAGTGAAGTGCGAGGAGATAGAAGGGGTGAGCTGATGAGTGGATAGATAGATTTGGGTGTGGTCAGCATAGAGATGTTATTGGAAGCCATGGGAGTTTATCAACTGACCCAGCGAAGAGGTGAAGATGGAGAATAGAAGGGTGCCAAGGACAGAGTCTTGGGGGACTCCCACAGAAAGAGGAAGAGGAGAGAAGGAGGTAGAATTGTATATGAAACAAAAATATCACATGTCTGTATATATTTATCTGGCTTTTAGAGGCAGCACACCATAAAAATATTCTTTCACAGAATGGGCTGTAGCTTTTAAAAATCATAACTAGATTATAATATGTAGCCACTTTTTTTATACAAAGAGTGCTTACAGGGTTTTTTTTAAGCATAAAGCAAGAAAACTAATTTCTTATTTTGCTATTAGCTACTGATTTTGACTCTGTTTTTTAGAACTGGAAACTTACTAGAGACTTGAAGTAAAATCTTATTCGAAAGAGCTGTCCCATGCTGGTTGCGAGCAAAGCACTGATATTCCCCTTCATAATCTTCAGGCCTACCACCCCCATAAATGTCTATGACAAGGGTTCCTGAACGTCTGCGAAATGAGACTTTCGGATCCTTAGCAACATTGTAAAATTTTCCATTCTTAGTCCAAGTAAATCTGGAAAAAAAAAAAACATAGGTAGATAGACAGTCAAACAAAATAGATATTGTGGGTAATATTAAATGTTAATATTACTTATGCATAATTTGCACTACATACTTCCTATCAGCTACACATGAAAAAGGCTGCTAGTTCACTGAAGGTGAAGCACACCGCACACCACCCCAGGACATTCAGTGACCACAAAAGCTTTTTCTTGCCAGCTTCTCCTGAACCCTCCATTCCTTCTGCAGGGAGCCCAGCTAAAGCAAAGCCCTGCATGGCAGATCGGCAGAATAGACATGTTGAGGCGAGCCAACACAGCCTGCCCTTAGATGGAATATGTAAGTTTGCCGACACTGAATTAAATATCTTCATCCATTTTCATATAAAACTCAAACTACATTTAATTAATTGTATGTGTCTAAATCACCCTTCTAAGTGACACTCAATTTAGAAATAAACCACAACTTTTCTTCCTAATAACAAATCTCCAGGCCCAGATGGTTTTTCTAATGTGTATAAACTTGTTAAAAATACCCTTGCTGTTTATCTACATCAAATCAATAATAATGGAGTCACCTCTGCCTCTTTCTTTCCAGAAGTGCTTAGGGCTATTGTTACAGTTCCAAAGCCAGGGAAGAAGCATTTGTCACCCCAACATTTTCTCTATGTTAGCCTGGAAAGTCTTGCTCCATTTAAAAAAGCCCTTCACCCTGCTCTCTCCACTTCCTATTTCACTCACTATCTTTGACAGCTTTATACCACACTAATCGATCCAAACATGGCATGCGAAAAGTATTTTCATACTTTTATATACAGACTCTGGACTTGGGCCATTTTCAACATGATTCTGAATATGGCCTACCAGACCAGGAATACCTCTACTATTTGTAAACAACCCATTTCCTCCAGCAAACAAAATCCATAGTCTTTGCAATCCCCCAAACCGGCAATTCTTTAACTCCCCTAAGCCATGAGCTAAAAAAGAATCACCACCTACACGATAAATAAACTTTTACTAAATCCCCACTTCTCTTTAAATGAAAAAGCAACCTTGGAGCTTTTTAGGCCTCATTCACATTGGGAGATTTGGAATCCCTACGGATTCCTGTTTATATGCAGCCGCTGTACCTGTTCAAATAACGAAAGGGTGCTCTATAAACACTTTTGTTTTCACATGTAATATACGTAATTAAGCTGTTTTGTTTTACTTTAATACAGATATAAATTTATTTGCCTAGTCTGATCTCATATTACTTTTTGAATTACTTACGTGGGATGTGGATTTCCCTGAGCCTCACACTCAATGATGATGTTATCACGTGGATCAACAATATAATTTTTCACAGACTGCTTAGTAATGGTTGGTGGCTGAATAACTGAAAAAAATATAAAAGAAAAAGTTAGACTAAGTGTTAAGCATTAAGTGTTCTGAGCACTTCCTAAGCCTCACATCCAGTAAATTGGTGTATCTGTAAAAAATAAGTCAAGGCAACTGGACTTGCTGTATTTTTCTTGAAGATGTTTCACTGGTCATCCAACCAGCTTTCTCAATTAAGAATGACTTGTACAAAAAATTATCTGGGAATAAATATGGTGAATGTTGCTCCAAGCCACGTAATCTGTTAGTCACAACCAGGTGTTGATTGCATTTGCATAATTGGAGTCTAGGAGGTGTTATTAACCTGCCCAGAGAGAGTACCAGTAAGGGTGAAAAGCATAAAAAAAGAATTTGGTGTCTGAGAAACTCAGAAACGTTTTTAAAAAACATCACATCCCCATATACAATGACCTGGATAAAAGAGAACCTTCACAGACTAGTAAACTGGTGGATCCGAAGTTAAAATATCAAGACAGCTCCTGCCTGCATTGTAAAAATACTGTATTTACTAGCAAATAAGCTTTGATCTATGAGATTTTGACCTTCCAAACCAATAATCTTTGAGCTTTTCCATGTTCAGTTTCCAAATACAACAAACACACGAGCAATCTGGCAATATGTGAATAACATTAAAGTGTATCTACACTTTAGTAGCCAAACTGGGATAACAACTATTTTATATGTGTTACATGTTCTCATCCACATAGCATACTTTTTAAAAATCTGCTTATATAACACTTTTTTTGTTGTAAATTCGGACACAGGATTTGAACATAAAGGGTTAAAAATATAGATGAAAGGAAACTCATTGGGGGGAATTTATCAAGGGAGTTGCTCCACTTTTCTTTAAGTGACACATTTTCCACGTTATTTGCACCTTATTTATCAATGCAGTCTAAGCCTTGATAATAAATGTAATTTTCATTAGACATGTTGGGGGGAAGTTATCATAGCAATTGCGAGTGTTTGAACTTGCACGGAATATATTTGCACCAGATTTATCAAGCTAGTGTAATGTTGTTGATAAATGAGGTTTAATAGACTCCAGGAAAAAAGACCTCTAACTTCAGGCAAAAAGCTTAACTGTCGCATCTTGAAGAAGTGGTCACGGGGACTTCTTAAGTTGTGACTGTTTTCTTAGGTGATGCTCCAGTTTCATACAGCCCCGGAACAAGTGCAGATGAAAACTGCAGGTGCAAGCTCTGAAGAAAACAGGTGCAAAACAGGGGCAAAAAACATGCAATTGAAAATGTATTGCAAGCTCTGAAGAAAACAGGTGCAAAACACATGCAAAAAACATGTGCAGTTGGAAAAGTAGTGCAAGCTTTGGGCAGAACACGTGCAGTTGGAAAAGTAGTGCAAGCTCAGGTAAAAACAGGGGCACATGAAGATTTGCACGAGATTTGCACATAAAAAAAAATGATCTAAGAGGCTAAAACTGTCATCATTGCTTTGATAAATTCCCCCCATTGTGTCTCTAGTCTGTGTGGGGACAGCCAGAGTTTCTTGTCACTTTGAAAATATACAGAGAAGCTTGCAGTCTGTCCTGCTCAACAGAAATATCTAAAAGTTAATATTTTGTAAAAATATATGTTTTTAGGTTGTGTGACTAGAAACACATAAGATAGTGTGTTTTCTCCAATTTGATTGCAAAAGTATAAATGCATATTAAAGTACATCTACAAATATTTATGTGCCTTCTTTAAAGAAACTTGGCCCTTGGTGTTTAGCCTTTTAACCCCTTCGTGACGGGAGACGTACACTGTACGTCCCGCCACAAAGGGACCAAATGACTCCTCACGTACACTGTACGTGACTAGTTATTTGCTGCATTAGAGGGCTGGTAACTGCTGAGAATCAGCGGTTACCATTCATTAATGGATGCCTCAGTATAGAGGCATTCATTAATGAAAGGGTTAACCTTTTTCAGACACCTGATACCTTAATATCGGGTGTCTGAGAGTCAAAGCAGAGCGGGCAAACATGCCGAATTTGGCTTATTTAACACGTAAACACATTAAAATTGTATGACAAGTTTTAAACAATCATGCAGCTAGCCAGTAGTTCTGTGTATTTTCACTTGGCAACAAGCTAGAAGCAAACTGGACTCTTAATTTAAACTTACGCTCTCGTTGAATGATTGCTGTTAATATCCATGACAGCAAATAGAAAGTTGAAGAGAAAGAGTTAGTGAAAACACAAAAAATAATAATGTACAAATGTACAAGCACAGGTGTGAGCTATAACAAAAAATTCAACTGGAAAAGTAGTCATTTACAAAAAAATACAAATCTTAATTTTCATCCTGCTTGTTTGCTCATCTTGTCAGTTTATAGACCTACCACAGTCATCATCCTTCTCATCACTTTTTTAACTCATCAGACATACTGTACTTTGACCTGAGTTATACCTCTTTCTCATGTATGTTTCTCACCTACTGCTTAACATGCTGCTTACCGCTCTAAACATCCTCTCACCTTCACCTAATTTTACATGCAACCTTTCACCATTTCTCAGATGTTCTCATATATTTCCCTCCAAATGACTGTCATGGTTCTATAACTTCCTTCCTCCTTATCTTCCACATCCCTCCTGCAAAACTCAACCATTTGTCAGACCCCGGTGTAGTGTTATGTAATTCCAACGTTTAGCCCTCGTTCACACCTGAACGTTTTGTAGCGCGTTCTACGCTCGACGAACGCTCTACAAAACGCTCAAACATCTAAATCCCATTGTATTCAATGGGTCTGGTTCACACCTTGGCATATTTCAGCCCGTCCCTAACGCGCTACAAAACGGCCCACGCCTGAAAAGGTACATGTACTACTTTGGGCCGTTTTTGTTGCGCGTTTCCATTGGGATACAGCCAAGTAGCCCTCGGAAACGCGCGTTTGTCGCACGATTTTTTTACCGCGAAACGCGGTAAAAAAAAACGCGCGACAGACGCGCATATGCAATACGCCTAGGTGTGAACCAGGGCTTAGAATTGAAGAAATATTTACAACAGAAGTGTTTTGAACCCTCCTGGCCTGACATAGAAGATCTTGGGATCATGGGTACTTGCACAGGAAGCGCTGCACTATGTTTATTCCATTATCACACACTACCTTTTCAGGCTGTAGCTAGCATGGGATAAGCCATAAGTTTCAAGAGCTTCCAGCAGCTCTGACCTCCTGTTCACCAGTCACACAATCTAAAACACTGCATTGTTAAGTTTCGCTTGCAATGTGGCACAAGGGTGATTGAAAGGGTCTAGTAGCACTGATAGAAGGTGTGTCTGGTGAAGGACACACAGGATGAGGCCTATGAAGAGAGGGGGGGGGGGGGACAGACATAA